AGGGGTCTAGGGGTTCAGGGTTTAAGGGGTTGTAGATCAAGCCTGGTGACAACAACAATAACAAATTTAGCATAATGACGACAATACAGACATAGTAATATAGTAATACTGATGATGCCTATAACGGTACTACGGCTACTACTGCTACTGCTGATGGTGCTACTACTACGACTAAGACCACCACGTTTCTTACTCTCTGTGTGTCTCGTTGCAGCTGGGTTCAGCTCTTGAACTTGCTGACAAATCTGCCGGCATACTGGTAACCATCTGGGGGTTTCCGAAAATAGGGGACCCTAAGATAGTACCCTAGATAATAGGATCCTTATTATAAGGGCCCCAAAATAAGGTACCCCTTATTTTCGGAAACTCCCATCAGATTCAATGTTGCCATCGTCTGTTTTTCGCCGCTCAGCTTCACGACTATGCCTTGCTTCGCATTAACCGTGCCGTTGGGGGGCAGATGGGCTCCGCCGTGGGATCAACGCTTGTGTTTATGGCTTGTCCGGCTTGTACCTAGACCCTCCATCTACCCTCTATACCCTATACCCTAAACCCTAAACCCTAAACCCTAAACCCTAAACCCTAAACCCTAAACCCTAAACCCTACCCTCTATTCGATCCTAAATAACCTTAGTTGGGGACCCAATCCCCCTGTTTGAGGGTATACATAAGGAGCTAGAGCTGACATGTACACAAAAAGGGGCCTTCGTAATTAGAACAAGGTTGATTTAGAGTTTTTTTGGGGTCCATTATACTATAATTAAACTAAGGAAACCACCAAAAAAATAGTATGGGTAATTATTTAGGCTCCTACATTACATGCATGCCTTGCGGGCGGGGAAGCCTACCTCTGGAGCTTCGTCTCCCAACTTTAACCGAATTCCATAGTGGAACCCTGTGGTAGAACGACACCTTACAGAACCCGTCTGAAGATCCTAGATAGCACCGCAATAGAACTCGAATCCGCATTCGTAGAACCTCTGGCCTTGGGTGTTTGTATATATATATATATATACTATATATATATACACAATATACGTATATATATATATATATATATATACCCTAAAGACGACCCATAACTTCTAAACCCAAGCAAAGCCTTAAAAGCCTCTCCTTTGCAACCAATTCTTCTCCGAGCCACCAGTGGCATCACGTGCGAAATGTCTCCAGGGCCCTGGAAGTGTAGAGGCAACTTCGAGAGCTCCTCCTTCAGAGATGTGCTTGGGCAATTAGGCTTCAGGATTTTAAGGTGCAGGGTTTAGGGTTTAGGGTTTAGGGGGTTTAGGGTTTAGGGTTTAGGGGTTTTGAGGCGTAGGTTTTTCGATTTTCAGGCTGAGGGTTTGGGGTGGGGCAACCACACCTCAAGACAATCAATACCGCAATCGTCACCATGGCCATCGCTGTCAGCACCAATGATTATAAGTATCTTAATGGGGTCGTATAAGTAAATATAAGTATAGTTACCTTATTTGTAACCCTAGTTACTGAGTCCCATGAACCTTTAAGTAAGGAGCCCAAAGGGATAGCACCAACACTAGCTGCCTCTCAGCTGCCTTTGGTCAGCTTTAACGGATTCAATGCTGACTTGGAGGTTCATGGGTAGTCATAAGTGCGGTTAGAAGTCCCCTAATATGGGTTTTAAGTATAGTTACCCTACTTACAACCCCACCTATAACTACCCATGAACCTCCAAGTACAAATTAGAATAGGGTTCCTTTGAAGGGTTCCTTTTCGGGGATACTATAAGGGCTACCAAAAGGGTTTAGGGTTTAGGGGCCTTACTAATTAGAACCTCCAAGTAGGAGCCGTCAGGAGAGCTGCGACATGACGAAGGCAAGCACTGCTCTCTCTTTCTGAGCACACGCGTCAGTTCTCAGACAACACCGGGTGATTCGGATTAAAGAGGACAATAATTAATATAGTACCCTTAATTGGAGGATCCTAATTAAGCACCCCAATGTTTGGGCCTTTAGGGTTTAGGGCTTTGGGGTGGCGTCGGAAGCACTGAGTCTCAAATTCAGATAAACATGGTGCTCCGTATTCACAAACCGTAGCCGGAAGTGACAAGCAGTGTCGCACGGAACATGAAGGGATGGGTGTGCCTTGGACCGCTCTGAATCTGTCACGTAGTTGCTGCTCCAGCGCACATACAAGAAGCCTCGGATGTGCTCGTCGGGAAAGCAAGGCACGGCAAGGATGCATCCGCTACAGAGCTTAATTATAATAGTAATAACAATAGCAAAACCCTAAACCCTAAACCCTAAACCCAATAATATCAACAATAATTAGCTGCTCAGCTTCCGGGGTTTAGTTAGCGGCTCGTTTCCGCGTTCTTCGAACAATTTTAGGCCGAGGAGTCAGACTAGTACTTTTGCTACTATCCATATTATAGCAAGCATATGCAAGTATAGATAATGTCATTATTCTTATTCTTTTTATGATCATGATAAATGGTTATTTTGTTCATGATACCTACTGTTATTGGTTGTTACTATGGTTATTGTTGTTATGGATATTCCTAAAAAGTATTCTTCTTTTAGGGTTGCGCATTGTTGTGCGCAACTTCGGGGAAGATCCGATGTACGCCGGCAGGGAGCCAGGTGTGCCCTGGGGCCATAGAGAGCCCACTTGGAGGTTCACGGGTAGTTATAAGTGGGGTTATAAGTAGGGTAACTATACTTATAGCCCATATTAGGGGACTTAGAACCGCACTTAACTTATACCTACCCATGAACCTCCGAGCAGGGCAGGTTGAATGCTAGCAACCGCCGCAACCGCGAGAAACAATGCGGCTTACCATAGGAGTCATCGACATTTCAGTAGGGTTTGAGGGTTTATGCGTAGCCTTTTACAGGGAATGTAACGGAAACGCTTCACCTGTAGTGCTTGGACGAATCTTGCCAGGCGGCCAGCCTAAGATGCTTGGAGGCTTTCTATCGCTGCGCAAACTGGTCCTGGGGTTGTTTCATCAGAGCATTACAACAGAAACGGTCTTTTCGCAAGGCCCCTGCTCAAACGCTTCCCCAGTACACCACATACAACAAGTCTAAATTGTGATCCCGAACCCTGCTCTCATACAATCATAATAACAACAACAATAATAACAACAGATAATGCCTATAATTACCTAGCAATAACAAAGCAATAATACTAAACATAGGAGCAATAATAGTAATAATCATACGAATACCAATAGTACTGACGATAAAGATACAAACAATAATAATAATAATAATAAGTATTAATATTAGTATTGGTTCAACAACAGTGCCTATAGAAGTTTGCTGATTAGTTCATTCCAAAAGGCTCTTCAGGTGGTTTCGCCTGGCTCGCCCCTGCCTCAAAGCTTTCAAACACCTCAGATGGCAGCCCCCTACTTGGAGGTTCATGGGTAGTTATAAAGTGGGGTTATAAGTAGGGTAACTATACTTATAACCCATGTTAGGGGACTTATAACCCCACATATAACTACCCATGAACCTCCAAGTACTTTCAATTCAGAAGAAATCGAAAACATCGAAGGTGGAGCAAAACCGCTGGATCTCGTTCAGGTCGGATCAACTACACAAGCTTGAGCCATTAATTCTAGGAGCTCTCAATCATACGAGTAGTCTGCGTCAGGTTTTGAAACTATGCACCACCTAAGCCCGACATTTCCCTAGGGATCCGTTAAACAGCATCCAGGCAGCCGTCTCGAACGCCTGCAATGCTCGGTGTGAGGCCTTGTCCGCGGTATACCTCCGATGCACGTCGGTTGGCGACATTAACGTCGGGTTCGTGTGCAGGTACGAGGCTGTAGGGAGGCAGCGTCCAGCACTTCGTGTTCATCCAGCTGTTGTTCAGACTGCGCGGTGAATGCTGCTGCCGGATCGAAAGGCCACTGCGAAGGCGAAATGCCCGCCACGATACAATACCCGGGGGGACGAAACGTGCCCGCACGAGGAGAGCAACACAACGGTATAGGGTTAAAATTAAGGTAAATATACTTATATTCACTTATAACCCCAATTAAGGGACTTATAACCCCACTTTTAACTACCCATGAAACCTAAACCCGAAACCCTATAGAACCCCTTGAAGGAACCCTTAAAGGAACCCCATAACCCCACTTAAGGCCAAAGTATGCAGCGGCTTCTGGGACTGTCTTGCGCCGCTCGTGCAAAAACAAGAACCCAGCCCCAGGCCTAGCACGAAACTCCCGCAGGTACTATGTCAGCTGCTGCTACTACTACTACTACTACTACTACTACTACTAGGGTTAAGGTTTAGGGTTTAGGGTTTAGGGTAGGATCCTGATGATAAAGACCCCCCAAAATAAGGCACCCTAATCTTCGGAAACTCCCAAAGGCGAGACTAAAATCAATCTTCTCGGAGTGGGCGAAAAGGCAGCCTGCCGAGAAAGAAGTAGTCCACGAAGTTGGAAACCATATTCTCGAAGACTCCCATCCGTCTATGCTTAAACCCACTAAAACACCATCAACAGTAGGTTTTCAAGAAGAACCGGGTTTTTAGTATAATAACTAGGAAGTTAACAAGATAATGCTAAATACGCGGTTCCTGTCCTGCACCCCACTTTAAAGTGGTGTTCGGCTGTTGTAGGCAAGGGTCAGAAATGAAAACTCCACACAAGAGAAGCTCGCGACGAGGTGAAAAACATGACGTGCGCAAGGTTGGAGGGCAGACGGGCAAGGTTTATATTTTGGGCGCTCTGGGAACCTTGACGTGGAGAGGCGTGTTTGCAACAAGTGCGGTGTGAGCCAACTTCTGGGTAGTTCTCTAAGTTACGGTCCCTTTTTGGCTCCCCAATATAGTACGGCGCCCTTATACAAAGGACCCTAAAAAGGGACCCTACTTTAGAGAACTGCCCTCATGGCCCAAGCGCTTTTTCACGTGAAGTTGCCGTGGCTGGCATCACCGTGAACCCCCGGGCCTCAAGAGATGTTGGAATAACCAGTTTAGGGCTCAGGGTTGAGGGTTTAGGGGTTTAGCATTTATTAGGGTTTAGGAGTTTAGGTTTTGATTAGGGGTTTAGGGGTTCGGGGTTTAGGGGCTTAGGTTTATAGGGTTTAGGGTGATTACATCTGCGCAGACCAGACATCTGGATTTGACACAGTATTCGACCCGACTCGGGAAGTGCCGCGGGGCCAACTACCGCAGCCAAAACGTAAACGCAACATTTATAAGGCTACTTGGTGCAAACTTGGCAAAGCACCGCACTTGTCGGCAGGAATTATAGAGTGGATTAGAGGGGTATATAGGGTTTATGATATAAATCCTGCATTACCCAGACGGAATACACCATAACTCCCATAGTTTAGGGTCCTGAAGGTAATGCAAGATTATATCATCAACAGTGGGGACTATGTCTTGGGGCGCATGCCTTTGATGGATGCGGCCTTTGTGTCGCGGACTTCAACAGAGGTGCAGGACTCCATAGAAGTTGCTTGAGATGTACCGCAACCACTCCCACTGCCCAGACGCGACGAGACAAAGCACCCCCTGGTCATGGTCAATGGCATTATTTGCAACAAGTCGGTGGACGGTACCGGAGTAGTCTTTCCAGAACCTCTCAAGCGCCAGAGGGTCGCCACCCCAGAATGTGCCCATGACCTCATCAAAATGATGCGTATAGTCATACATTGACAGATATTTGCTGAATGTCAGCTGTCCAAGCGGCAGCGGTTGAGGTACACGCCGCGCGGCTTTGTCAGAGCCCAGAAACAGCTCCTTCTTGCTGTTGAGCTGGTGGAACAATGTCACCGTGCCTGGCACCGCAATGTTGCAGGCACAGAAGTGTTCGGGCACCTTGATAGCACCGTGGCCAGCCCCAACATCCAGCCATACAAAATAGCGGTTGCCCATATTGAAGTTGCTGGATGAATTTCGGAAGTAGTTCTCTTGTACTGCTTGCGCAATGAAATTTGCCTTCTCATTCGTGGCCCAGGCATAGTTTGGTATCATCTTTCCACTAACACCCGCGAGAAACCTGTTGAAAAGATACCTGCAATACTTCCTGTCGGCAATGACCTGCATCTCTTCAAGCAAGTGGTGGAAAGCCAAGTTTGCTGGCTTGCCCCATTTTGAGGCTGCAGACTGCTCGGAATCCTTTGCTACCTCCAAGAGTCGCAAATGGGTTCGATTTTGCAGGCCCAGTTTGGTCCGCACCGCAAACAACACCTCCAAAGCCCAAGCCTCTCCATAGAATACAAGATCGTACTGCCGGTGAAGATGCGGGCCGAACATACGCAAGTATTTGCAGCCGGAACGGTCACGCCGCCCGGCGTCGATCAGAGCGCTCACAACCGTAAAGCGTGGAAATTGTTCGCTTTCGTTGGACTTGCAGCGGCCCCCTTCAGCATCACCATCAGGAAGGCGGCAGTCGCACCGCTGGGCTGCTGCATCCCAATGCACGGTATCCTCTGCGAAGTCACCCATCTCTAGTATATCTTGAACCAGCTTGGCCGTGTCACATCCTTCAGGCAGGTAGCCTGGCCGAAGGACCCGAAAACCAGGGACCCAGCCGTTCTTCCAGGTGGCGAACTTCAGAAAAATGTGCCAGAACAAGACCCAGAACCAACAGCTAATAGCAAAGCACAATATCGTGTTGACGCGACGCGCGTTAAGAACTGTCCAAGTTTTGCCCAGAAACGCTGCCACAAGGTATCCCAAAGTGGCGGCCATGGCAATGCCAGAACCTCTGGCACTTGGCACACACCAGAATGCCATCAGTATTGCCAAAACTCGGCCGAACATGACATACAGGCTGCAAGTGACCTTTTCGTCACCCTTAAAGGCCTTAGCTGTAGCTCCATCAGCATAAGTCCCGAGGCGGGCTCCCACAGAAGTAGGATGAGCCATTGCGAAAAACGCGGAATCTGCAATGCTTGTAAAGAATGTGTTGCAGAAGATCTCTTAATGTGAGATGAGATGCCGTCCTAGCGTCAGGGCCAAGCTATGCTGTTTTGGGGGGTGGCCCAAGATAATTCTACTATAAATTGAGCACAAAACCCTATTCTGATTATGAACGCCTGTCCTTTATCTGGGAACGAAGCCTGGAAGTAAGGATTACGGGGACCCTTGGGGATATGGACCCTCTCAATAAGGTCCCGTTTAAGAGAGCCAGTAGGGTTCAGAAGGGCCCCCTTTAAGGGGTCTCGCTAACCCTAAGGGTCCAAGTACCTAATAATCATATACTCCCCCAAATATTAATCTAGATAACTACTATCCGCAACCAAAGTACCTGATTATTGGGTCCTTTGGACCCTTAGGGTAATACTACCTAGGAAAGCCTGGCTCTTGGGATGCTGGTGTAGCCACACCAGCTCTTCATGAACACCCTTACATTCATGACTGGTGCAATCCGTCATGTGACAAGGAGATGGGGGTTTCCGAAAATAGGGGATCCTAATATAGTACCCTAAATCGGAGCCTTATTACAAGGACCCCAAAATAAGGTACCCCTTACTTTCGGAAACTCCGAGATGCATCTGCGTAGGACTCCGCTCCAAGATTCTTCAAGCATGGCTCACGCACGTCAGGCTAGGGTTTAGGGTTTAGGGTTTAGGGTTTAGGGTTTAGGGTTTAGGGTTTAGGGTTTAGCCGAGTTGCAAACGCCGCCTCTTGCGTTGCAATGGCAATCCGATGGATGTGTCGCCTGCTGGCGATGTACCTCTCAATTTGGCACGGAGCGTCTGCTGCCTCATAAGCCCTCAAACCAGAGTAACCAGAGACAGCAATTCGAAACCTTCGTTCTCAGCTTGCAAGTTCTGAGATCCGTGGAGCTGGAGATCAAAACATGGCAGAATGAGCTCCAAAACCCCATCATGGGTTTAGGGTTTAGGGTTTTAGGGTTCAGGGTTTAGGGTTTAGGGTTTTGGTTGACCACACCTCCAAGAGCACTGAAGGAACCAAGGCTTTATGGACTTAGCTTCTGTTTTTTGTTGACTTCCCAAGGGGAAGCTCTACGGGTGGAAGCCACTCAGAAGCCTTGAGACACACCTATAGTCTCCATTGTAGTTCCTTCTTGGGGTTTAACCAATTCAATATCAAGGATCCCAAAGGTGACACCAACAAGGAAGCTGACCCTAAGGGTCCATGTACCCAAACAGTATATAGATTGGCCCCAAAGTACCTATATAGGGACTACTTAAGGCCAATGTATATACTATTTGGGTACATGGACTCTTAGGGTGATATGCGGAAATCCAGAGATCCCCTGCTTCCGAATGGGGCGCTTGATTCGGAGAAAACTATCTTGTGAAGTTCGAAAACGACGCTTTTCATAGTGAGCCCTATATCCCCTAATTAAAAAAGCTAAGCCCTAAACCCCTCAAAGCCACCCTGAACCCTAAACCCCAGATTTGGTCTTGGAGCCTGGATCGAGTTGAAAGCTTAGAACCCTAAACCCTAAACCCTAAACCCTAAACCCTAAACCCTAAAAGCTTAGCACCCCATGGCTCCCCTGCTCTGGGGCACATGTGGCCATCCACGACGGTCAGTGCCCGCACACCTTCCTGTCGGATTTGGGGGCCTCAATAATTACCAATACTTAGGGTTTAGGGTTTAGGGTTTAGGGTTTAGGGTTTAGGGTTTACCAATACCAGTTTCGGGGTTGTGGTCCCCAAAACCCTATTCTAATTATTAAGGCCCCTATGCCATGCAAACCTCTACTTGTTCCTGCTACTTCCGCAAGCGTCGTAGTGTTCCAAGGCCCCTATATTGGAGTTTCAAGCTCATGAAGTAGATTTGCATCTTTTGCATTAGGGAAGTGGCTTCAACCACGAGCCTGTCAGCGTGTCAGTGCCAACCGATCCGTGGGTTGCTTCTATAAACCCATCCGTGGGTGGCTTCTATAGGATAGCAGAGTCTTCCGCACCCCCCTCACAGCAATCCTCATCCAAGACTTCCAAATCCTTGTCGCAGTCCCTCTATAGACTTATAGCAGAAGATACCCATGAACGCTATTCTTTTTCTTGACGTCCCTCTATATTCGGGTATTGTTGACTTGAGGGCTTCTATCTTTGACTTTCGGGGATCCTAAACCCTAAGCCCCGACAAGGGTCTCACGTAGAACGCAAAATCAACCTTCCTACGGGCCAGACCCCAAAGACTTGTATCTTATATCGGTTTAGGGTTTAGGGGTTAGGGTTTAGGTTATATTGGTATAAGGAAGTCAGATCATAGTAAGAAACCCCAAACTCCCTAAACCCCTAACCCCAAAAAGGGAGCAGTAGTAGGAGTTCGGGTGTGCTTTCGCCATCTTCGAGCTCTAACCCAATAGAGCCTATGTAAGGAAGTAGGGTTTAGGGTTTAGGGTTTAGGGTCCCCTGCCCCCCTCCCCCCCCAACCTTGAGGGTCGCTATGCTTTAGGGGTGCAGGAATCTCAGGCTGAGAAGTGCAGGAATCTGCTGGCGGCTCAGGGTTTTTGCCGGATAGCGTGCATCAGCCATCGCGCCGAAGCTGATCCTGAACGGAGCTGCTGTCACCGCCGACCGCAGCATCTCCCCAGGTGACAACCGATCCATCGCCAAGGACGGCAGCGAACGCCGAGCCAGCAGATTGAATCTGCTGCACATTTTTTAGTCGTTCCTGCACGGAACTACTGTCACCACCATACTTAGCATCACCCCAGGTCACAACCGATCCATCCTCCAGAATGGCAGCAAAAGCGGCCGCAGTGCATTGGACCTGTTGCACATTCTTCAGCTGATCCTGCACAGCACTACTGTCGCCACCTTCCGAATGGTTGCCCCAGGACACAACGGATCCATCGCTAAGAATTGCAGCAAAGGCACCGTCCGCACCCTGGACCTGTTGCACGTTCTTCACTTGTTCCTGCACAGAACTGCTGTCGCCACCAGCATTGGCCTCACCCCAGGTGACAACCGATCCATCGGTAAGAATGGCAGCAAAGGCGCCGCCTGAAGATTGAATCTGCCTGACATTCTTGAGCTGATGTTGCACGGCACTGCTGTCGCCACCGTAATCTTCATCACCCCAGGTGACAACGGATCCATCGCCCAGAATGGCAGCAAAGGCACAGTCAGTGGCTTGGATCTGCTGTACATTCTTCAACTGACCCTGTACCTTACTACTGTCGCCACCCCGGTCTTTATCACCCCAGGCCACGACCGATCCATCGTCCAGAATGGCGGCAAAAGCGTGGCGAGAGGCTTGGACCTGCCGCACATTGTGAAGCTGATCTGGCACGGAACTACTGTCACCACCGTACTTAGGACCACCCCAGGTCACAACCGATCCATCGCTCAGAATGGCAGCGAAGGCATTGGAAGAGGCTTGAATCTGCTGAACATTCTTCAGCTGATCCTGCACAGCACTGCTGTCACCACCATCTTCAGCATCACCCCAGGTCACAACAGATCCATCGTCCAGAATAGCAGCAAAAGAGCGGTCTGATGCTTGGACCTGCTGCACATTCTTCAAACGGCCCTGCACATCACTGCTGTCGGAGCCGAACTCAGGGCCCCCCCAGGTCACAACAGATCCATCATCAAGAATGGCAGCAAAGGCGCCGTCACTTGCTTGAATTTGAATGCTGCTTGTGCGCAACAAGGTCAGCCGGTCACCATTCTGCACCCTGGCCTTCTTGATCTGCGCACATCCGTCCAGGACGCAACCAGATGAGTCCAGCAGCAACCCCATCCCGACTGCCAGGGCAGTCTGTGATCGTCGTTTCAGTGTACCCACAGTCTCATCCAGGGCTGCTTGCACTGTGGTGGTCCTGCCACTGGCCAGTCCAACCTCGACATCAACGGACTTGCTGCCATGCTCCATTCCGTGGGCTCGGGGTCTTGGATGTGGACCCCTTACTTAAGGAATATACCTTAATATATCGGGGCCTTAATATTACCATGTAAGGTGTATATTCCTTAATTCAGGGGTTCAGTCTGTTTTCTCTACGTTGCAGGGCGTCAAAAGCCGGTGCTACTTGCAACAAGACGATGGTCTGTAGTCTGGCTGCTGCTGTATTATTGTGGCCCGACAAGTTCAATGCTTGGTCTCTGCTGTCATAAGTATTGCTTCTACATACGGGCCTTGTATCACTGTTCTTACCGTTTTCAAGCTGTGCTGCGACTAAGTCAAGGCCCATGCTACCAGCAGAACTGGAGCCGAATGATTGCTGTGATGATACCAGACTTCGGACTTTTCTGCACTACACTCAGATGGCAACCTTAGATCAGGAGGAGTTGTGCACTGCCTAGCAAGACAAAGAACTTGGGATCTCGGCTTAGGCCTGAGGACCCAGAGACTCCAAAACCCCTTAATTAAGGAACATACCTAAATTATAATAGGATCCCTAGTATGATTTAAGGTATATTCCTTAATTAAGGGGTTTTGGAGTCTCTGGGGACTTAAGCAGGATGCCTCCATGCCATCGCCAAACTACGCACCCCCCACCCAAAGCGTATAACCGACTTCCCCCGGCATGACTGAGCCGTCTGTTGTCGGACCCTCCCATATTCAGCCACCAAGTTCAGTCCCAACATACCGCTCTTGTTCCTACCCCGACAAAGAGCTACCTACTAACTGCTAGGCTCCTCATTGCAAAAACCCTGAGAAAGGTAGTAAGTCCCCCCCCTCCTGCCCTTACCTCGCTCCCCCACCTAAAATCTGGGTGAAGCACTCTAGGACTCTAGAATGCCTGTAAACCCCCCGTTTCCACTGCCCTATGAAGGCTTAACGGATGCTTATCGCACCAGCAACTGGAACTTGTGTTGCTTGGAGCTTCGACAGCAAGCCCTCCCAGTCGCCGGGCCTGGTGACCTGCATCCGCGGGCAAACCTGCGAAACACGCTGGGGAAAGGCTTGGTGTCAGCGGGCCCGAAGTGGGTCCATGTACCCGAATAGTATATACTTTGGCCTTAATGTAGTCCCTATATAGGTACTTTGGGGCCAATGTATATACTATTTGGGTACATGGACCCTTAGGGGTACACTATTGGGAAGCTTTGTTGCGTGTGAGCTCGAAGGACATGCTCCTTTATGGTGCGAGGGTGCACCCAATTAATACCGTGGCTCTGGCCTGCTACTTTGTACTTGGAACAAGAACTCACATGTGTTCAACCAAATTACAGGGTGGACATACACTGCTGTCGAAATCACGGAGAAGCAATGCGTAGGCTAAGGCTTGGCGGCGGCTCGGGAATTCTCGAGCCGGGCTTCATAGGACCCTAAGCCCTAAACCCTAAACCCCTAAACCCTAAACCCCTAAACCCTAAACCCTAAACCCCTAAAGCCTAAACCCTAACAGGTTGTCGAAGGGCCCTCAAAACTTCAACATGAGAGCAAAGGACTTCTTGGAGAAACCTGTGACCCGTTCCTGAGCTTGTGCGGGGTAGACGAACCGCAACCCGGGCTGCGTGAGCATGCTTACTAGGGAATGGGGGAATGGATCCCTATGATAGTCCCTTAAGGTCCCTTATAGTAGTCCCTATGCCTATAACCCATTCCCCCATTTCCCTACTAAGCACCAGACAGTCATAAGGCCTACAACTTCTCTGACCTGTCTTGCCACTCGGCTGCCGAGGCCTCGAGGCTGAGCTAGATCAGAATTCTGAAGTCTCTGGGATGTGACCTTTTGGGTTGAGGGTACAAGGCTTAGGATCGCGGCTCAATCTCTGTAGAGTGTAGGTTTTAGGGTTCAATCTCTGTGGAGTGTAGGGTTTAGGGTTCAATCTCTGTAGAGTTTTATTTAAAACGAGGATCTGGGGCTCAGGGATTACAACAGCCGACTCAGACACAAGTGAACTGAACTCGAGGCATAAAACCATGAAGCCGTTGCCTAAATCCTAAAGCCCTAAACCCTCAAACCAAAGGCAGAGCCTAAAAACCCCTAACACCCTCTGAACCCCCAAACCCTAAACGGCGTCCAGAAACTTCCGCGCGAGAAAGCCAAAGGGGAGAGGTATAAAGGGAGTCGCCACCACCAAGGCGAACTTCCTGGGCTCTGGGTTCGGGCTGTTCGGGTCCTAGGTGGGACTAAGAAGGTTAATGTAGGGGTTTCATTGATCAGAATAGGGATTTGGGGGGTTCCTTGGTATAACTATACTATAATATACCCCCAAACCCTATTCTAATGATGAAGGCCCCTAACTTCTATTTACGCTGACTTCCTCTGCAATGATATTGAGCACATCTACCCCCACAATGGTCACTGCTGCCACCATGGCCCCAAACTCACATCCGAGATCCTGGGCAGCGCGAGTTCAACCCGGCAATTTGCTGTGGACTCGAACGCTGCCCATGCATTCAGGCACCCACAACCCAGGCGTAGCCATTGCTGAGTCTATCGACCCAAGGTTGAAGCAAGAGAACTAGAATTGTTGAGGCTTTGAGCAAAATTCGCTGCGCGGCCGGTTTACTAGCCTTCCGACTTGAACACGGCGATCCCAATGTCCGCGTAAAATCCCATCAAAACCCATCAACATCCCATTAAGCCCTTCAAAATTCTGTTGCAACCCCTCAAAATCCAATTAAGACCCTTCAAAATCCGGTTAAAACCTTCAAATTCCTAGTAAAACCCTTTCGAAATGTGATTAAAACGCTTGGATTTTGTGTATGTTTGCATGGATTTTCTGTATATTTGCCTGGATATACAACAAATCCATGCAAATATACACAAATCCATGCAAGTATACACAACATCCATGCAAATATACACAACATCCATGCAAATATACACAAAATCCATGCAAGACTGCAA